TTAAATGACAGAGATTACACAACTTGCCAGTGGCAAATTTGGAAACAATCCAGAAGCCCTAGCTCCTAGTATTCTGCTTTAGATAAAGTCTAAAGTGTTAACAAAAACCTTCCTGTGCAAAATAAGTTTTTTTGAGGCGGTTGTTTTACATTAAATGGGGATCCTCCCACTGTGGGATATTCTTGTAGCAATCCCTGTGGGGTCAAGACCAAAGTAGTTATATGTCCCTTCTGCAGTAGGCTGCTGATACTCACTGGCTATGTCTACACTGCAGGCTTCTTGCGCAAAAACTTGCGGAGCGTATACACTGCATGTGTGTTCTTGCGCAAGTACAGTTACAGTAAAGCATCAGAAGAGAGGGCTTCTTGTGCAAGAGTTATTCCTCCTCCCATGAGGAATAAGCCCTCTTGTGCAAAGAGGCAGCATGGATGGGCAAGAGGAGTTTCTTGTGCAAGAAATCCCTATAGCTAAATTGGCCATCAGAGCTTTCTTGCGCAAGAGAGCATCCACACTGCCATGGACACTCTTGCACAAAAGCCCATGGCAGTGTGGATGCGATTTTGCACAAGAATTTTTGCACAGAAACTCTTGTGCAAAACAGTTCTTCTGCAAGAAGCCTGTAGTGTAGAGACAGCCACTGAGCTGCAAAAGAAACCCCCTCCTCCTACTATATGGCACACAATTGGTTAAACACTAGTTTTTCCAAGCCCTTACAGCTGGCTGATCCTGTCTGCATTAGGGATGTAAAATCCCATTTAATCAGTTAACTGGTTAAACATTAGGTTTAACTGATTAACCCAGTGTTTCTCAAACTGTGCTCCATGAAGCACAGACATCTCCAGGGGCTCCGCGAGGTTGACAAACTGGAAACATCGATAGGTACAACACATACAATCAGAGGATCACTGGGGCGCCGTGTAATTTTTTTACGCATGTAAAGAGCTCCGGAGCCCAAAAAGTTTGAGAACCGCTGGGTTAACCAATTAAGCAAGATCCTGTGGGTGAGGGGCTGCTCCAGTCTGGCTGAAACAGCCCTCAGCAGGCCGTGGCCAGGGGCTGCTCCCAGGCACCAGTTAACCAGTTACTGATAAGTATCACCCACTTAGGGTGATGTTAGGGATATGAATGTGTACCTGAGTACATGGTTAACCAATGGGGCAGCAGGGGAGAAGGGAGCCAGCGCAGTGGAGAGCTGCCTGCCCCACATGCTGCTGCCTCTAATACAGAGGCAGCCGTATGGG